TCTCAAGAGGCAACTTGGGCTGGGATCTGCTGTCCCCATAAAAAGATTTTGTTCAACACTCTGCCTCTTCTCTGCCAATCCCAAATAGTTTTCAGAATTTAGAGAAATCTCTCCACCAATAAGAAAGTAAGCCAGGAAGAAAGTGCTAAATAACACTGATGTCTTTATTCCTACCTTCACAATGCTCACTATAAAAAGATTGTTGCTAATTTCCCTAGGGAATTGTAGCAATGTGAAATAAATCTCTCTTCTGTTATCCATGACTTCATCACATCAGAAGAACAGTGTTGTTTCTCTCCTTTCTTTCTTGCATCACTAAGACCAGTATCACCAAGCAGCCGTACTAGCCCAATTGCTCCCTCTTCTGCAAAACAACCCTCAGAGCTATGCGAATGTAATAGTTCCCCCTGAGGATATAATACGGGTGTGGGACTTAACTGGGCGTAAGCCATTACAGCATCAACTCTGACTCAGTCTTTGGGTTCCATATAGGATATAACATGAACTACTAGAGAAACTACGAAGATAAATAAATGTGCATGTTAGTAGACTGAATTGGAATGGAAGTAGGATTGGAAAGGAATAAAAGAAATGAAAGATTTGGAATTTATTTAATTTAAAAATAAGATTGGAGAATTAGCTAAAGAAAATCTTACTAAAAATTATTCCACTATGAGTGAAGAATATACACAAGAAAGATTTAGTGTAAAGTTGGAACAAGGGGCTGAAATAGCTAAAGATAACAACAACAAACACCATGCAACATCCAGATCTGCCTATCCCTATCCCTTGGAAAAGGGATAGGTAGGTAAAAATGTCAAATTTGGTCTGACCATCTGGTTCATTGTGTGATGAACCAATAATAATAATAATAACATCATCATCATCAAGAGGGGAATATTTCAAGGTGATTCACTGTCACCACTGTTATTTGTCATTGCACTGTTTCCTCTGTCAACAATACTGAATAACTCAGGCCATGGCTATCAAACATCAAAAACATCTGCCAGACTATCCCACCTCCTTTACATGGACGATCTGAAGCTGTATGGAAAAACACCATCTGAAATAGAATCGCTGCTCAATACTGTCCATATATATAGCCAAGATATTGCAATGGAGTTTGGCTTGCACAAATGTGCCACACTTACTATGAAACAAGGAAAAACAGTGAAAACTGAAGGAATAAAGATGCCCCACGAAAATAACATTAAAAGTCTGGATGAGGATGATTATTACAAATACTTGGGTATCCTTCGAGCTGACAACATTAAGCACACTGAAGTCAAGAAAAACATTAGAGGTGAATACATCAAGAGAGTGAAAAAGATCTTAAAGTCCAAACTCAATGCAGGAAATACCGATGAAGACAATCAACACCTGGGCAATTCCAGTCATTAGATACACAGCTGGAATATTGGACTGGACTCAAGCAGAACTAAAAGCAATGGATAGGAAGACCAGAAAAATAATGACAATGAATCATGCCCTTCATCCACACAGTGACATTGACAGACTTTATCTACCAAGGCAAATAGGTGGGCGTGGAATGTTGCAAGTACATCAGATGGTTGAAGAAGAAAAAATGGTTTTGGAAGAATATCTGAAGGACAATAATGAAGATGCACCGAAGTTAGTATATCAGGAAGGCTTACTGACTACTGGAGAGACCAAACTGGCCTACAAGAAAGACCAAATGAAGAACAGAATGGAGCCATGGGAAGACAAAGCACTACATGGCCAGTACATTAAAAAAATAGCTGGGAAAGCAGATAATAACAAGACCTGGCAATGGCTAAAAGCAGGAAAGTTAAAGAAAGAGACCGAGGGACTAATTAAACCTTAAGGACAAATGCATACAAAGTCAGAATTGAGAAGACAGCAACTGAAAGTAAGTGCTGCCTGTGCAAAGAAGCTGAAGAAACTGTCGACCTCCTGGTAAACTGCTGCAAGAAGATCACACAGACTGACTACAAGCAGTGGCATGACAAAGTAGCAACAATGGTGCATGGGAAGATCTGCAAGAAATACATTTGCCTGCAAGCAAGAACTGGTGGGATCATAAAATAGAGAAAGTCATAGAAAATGAAAATGTTAAATTGCTCTGGGACTTTAGAATTCAAACAGACAGGCACCTGCCACATAACACCCCAGACTTAACAGTTGTCAATAAGAAAGGCAAAAAAGTTTGGATAGTGGACATGGCAATGCCTGGAAACAGCAGAATAGAAGAAAAAGAACTGGATAAGATAACAATATACAAAGACCTACAAATAGAAATAGAACGACTCTGGCAAAGGCAAGCAAGAGTAGTACCAATAGTAATAGGTACCTTGGGTGAAATCCCAAAACAACTGGAGCACCACTTGAACACCATTGGCATTGACAAATTCACCATTAGTCAATTGCAAAAGGTGGCTTTACTTGGAACAGCTTCCCTCCTGTGATGATATCTGTAATACCATCAAACATACACATCTGCCTATCCCAGGTCCTGGGTAAGGACTCGATAAGGTAGACAAAAATGCCAAACCCAGTCTGAAAATCTGGCTGACTGTGCCAGTTTAATAATAATAATAATAATAATAATAATAATAATAATAATAATAATAATAATAATAATAATAATAATGCTTCTCCATACTCCCAAGATAGTTTCCAACAATTTCATTGGGAATCTGACCCTTAAAAAAATGTAGAAACTAGAGATTTGGTGACAAATTGATCACTTTAATTTGCTCAATTGAGTTCTTCTTCTTTTCCCTATCCTTGCTTTTCTGGAAAATTGGAATTTAGTAATAGAGGTATATAAAGTCTTGTCCCACTTTGAAGAAAATCTTTAAAGAAAGACTCTTGCAGATTTGTTTGAAGTAGCTTTGTCAACTCAGAATTCATTGAAATCCTGTAGATATTTCTATTACAGTTACCGTATTTATTCGAGTATAACGCGCACACGTGTATAACGCGCACCCCTAATTTTCTATTAAAAATCGGTATAAAATTTTGTTTCACTTTTTCTCGGCTCAGACCAAGCATTGTAAGTGACAAACGTTGTTGAACACGTGCGGCCATGATAAAAATCATTTATTGACAACGTAAACTATGAACACAATACCGAAATAAAAGTACCGGTAACAATATTTATTTTAAATGCTTCAAAGTCAGATTCATCATCAGATACACTAAAGAGTTGTTCCCATTCTTCTCGAGTTAATTTATCATCAGTTTCTTCGCTTTCTTCTGAGTCTGAATTCCACAGCAGGTCGTCTTCTGTGCCATCCATTTTATTGCTGATGCCGCCCCCTGTACGCGACGAGGGGACGTTGTTTTTTTCTTCGCCCTCGCGACTGAAGCCCGGAAAAGGCACAGTGCGAACTCACAATTCGTGTCATATGCAGAACGTTTTCTCCTGAGTTGCCATCTAACGGGAAAGGGAAGTGCGTCTCGCCAGTTGGGGCCGCCCCCTGTACGCGACGAGGGGACGTTTTTTTTTCTTCGCCCTCACGTGAACGGCTGAAGCCCGAAAAGGCACAGTGCGAACTCACAATTCGCCTGCGCCCTCAATGTACCGGCCGCCACTGCGTCACCCCAGCCCAGCCCTCGTTTATAACACGCACCCAAACTTTGATTTCTTTTTTTGGTAGAAAATTTTGCGTGTTATACTCGAATAAATACGGTAGTTTTGCAGATACACATTTACAAAGTGTTGGTGGAATAACAGTGAAGGAGCAGCATGATATAATATGATATGCAGTTGTTCCATGCTAATAACTTTCTGATTAGCAGTCAGTATCTCAAAAAGATAGAGGTAGATAATGCTTCTAATGCTGTTTAAATATTTTAAGCAAAGGGTCCTGTTTTTTTAACAATAAAGTTTTCCTTTTGTTTCTCCTAGATTTTTTCCTTGTGTAAGCAAGTTATGCATAGGTAGTTTAATTTGATATTTGAACCAAAAGATATGCTTTATGGTACTCAAACCAGAATAGTATTCTAGGTTTAAACTAGAGTTTGTTGGCTTGTAGATGCCTATTCTTTTAAGCACAATAAATCATAATCTTGAATGTGGGTACAGTATTCATCCTCTCAAATTATCCATGTCTAGTTTGTTTATCTGCTCAGATGAACAAATGAATAATATATACTAACACATGCTTATTGACATTATTGTTTCACAAATCAAAGGTACTGGTTTAAAGTGCTAAGCAAATATGCTTGTTAGCAAACATTTTAAACCTGAACAGCTTTAAAACTTGGAAATAAAAAAAAACTTCCAAATAAAATTGTACAGAACACTTGTTAGTGCAGGCAGCCAAAGAGCAAGTAGCATGAATAATTATTCAAAAACTAGCTGCACATTTTTCTTTTTAAATCAAACTTTTTAGATGTAAAATATATGATTAATGTATACACCTTTGTCCTGTGTTTCAAAATTCACTAGTAAGTGTAGTTGCGTATTTTATACTTGATTTCAAACAGAAACACATATATTGATCCCTAATACAGGAAATGAAAATAATTTAGAACTAAGAAGAGGTGCTTAAAGAAAGAGTTGTCATTGTTCCTTATTCCATTTATTATCCAATGAAAGTAGTAATTATTTAAAGAAACATTCCTGGAAATTGATATACTGTACGCTAATTTGCATATAGTGCAATCTTTAAGTTGCGGATCTGTGATTAAAGGGCTAAAGTTGAAGGAATCTGAAAGTTGTGGTGCAGATGGAACTAAGGACCCAAACACATTTTCCCATAATTAAATGGAGGAATTCAGTGGAACAAGCTATCTTTCATGATATCTGCAATATATTTTTGCATGTAAAGATTTAGATAATTATTCTCTGATTATAGGCCAGGCTAGTTGGGTCTTGGGAATTAGAGTCTAAAACGTTGGGCAAGTATCAAGATATCTACATCTGCGTACAATTTGGTTTTATGCCATAAACAGTCTAGCTTTCTCAAATGTATTCTTTGATCTATTTTTCCTGTGATTTTTTTTCTTAGACAATCTATTTCATCTTGACTCATCATCATTCCAAGATAGTGGCATCTCTGGGGCTCTCTGCTAATGTTAATATGGTACAGAAGATTTAAAATTAGGTAAGTCCTGATGTTCATATAGATCAGGCATGTCAAACTGCCGGCCCACGGGCTGGATGCATCATACTGAAACCACGCCTACCCCATTGCCGGCAATGGGGAAAAAGTCACGATATGTCGTGCAACATCACGTGATGTCGCGAGTTTGACATGCCTGATATAGATTAACTTCAATATGTATCAGCAGCTGCTCCTTTTACATTTTAATTTTTTTGTTGGTGTTTTGTTTCAGCTGATGTTCACAAGAAAAAGAGTCACGTGATGTATGAAGGCAAACATATACACTTTTCTGAGGTTGATAATAAGCCATTGTGCTCCTACAGCCCCAAACTGTGTAAGCAGAGGCGACTAAATGGCTACGCCTTCTGTATCAGGCATGTTCTGGAGGATAAGACCGCCCCTTTCAAGCAATGTGAATATGTGGCGAAGTACAATAGCCAACGCTGCACCAACCCTATCCCTAAATCTGAGGACCGTAGGTAAGTGACAGCAACAAAACTAAAAGTATCAACAAGATAAGTAAAGTAAATAATGGGCGCTATATAAATCCATGAATGATCAGTGATACTAATGAGAAGCCAATTGTGAATTTGATGAATGTATTTATTTACTTAAAGGACATATATGACTGCCTATCTCACAAAGGGACTCTATAGGCAACTTGCAATAATCTATAAAACATAGTGAAAAAAAGCAAAGGTATCCTTCCCCCCAAGGGCTTGACCAAACATCATCCCAGCTGACCCCCCCCCCAACCTTCCTAGTCCAAAGCTTGCTGGATGAGCTGATTATAACAGCTTCCATTTTAGCTGGAGGAGTAGAATAAAGGGAGTTGGGAAAATAGTTGAATATCACAACATTAGACAATGGGTCATCAGAAAAGTCTTCTCACTAAACATACAATCTTTTAAAATATGTATTTTACTGCTTTTTAATTAATAACGAAAACCACAAAACTAATAGTGATAATTTGTCAATGAGAAGGAAAAAACATATAAAAAGTGCTGTAACAAAAATGAAAAATACAAATAATATGTCATAACAGCTGTTAGAATTCTATATATTTGTCTAATGCAGATTTTATTCAGGATATATTTCAGAATAGAGTAGAGTAGAGTAGAATAGCTTCATTGTCACTTTAAACATACACTAATCAACACACATTAAAATGAAATTTCATTGCATTCAGCTTTCGAAAGATAACCACATCCAATATATGCTGCTACATAAACATGACAAAAAATATACACATACCCACATACACATATATGACACAGAGAAACAACATAGTATAGTTCGGCTGTATACATATACAGTACATGGCGAGAAAAAAGAATCCTGTGAATTTACAAGACAGATGGCATAAGAATCCAGTAGTCCTGCTAGAAATACTTCGAACCTCCTCCCAGAGGGGAGCAACAGAAACAGACCGTGAAGTGGGTGTGTGAGGGTCTCTAACAATGCTTTGAGCTCTAAGCACAATCTTCTCAGCTGTCTTTACCACTCACTGTATGGACCTTCTATCTGAGGCTCTGCCAAACCAAACAGTGATGCAGTTTGTTAAAACACTCTTAATTGTGCCTCTGTAAAAAGTGGCCAGGAAGAGAAAGATGTGCTCTCCTCATTCAACACTGATACATTTATACAACTATCTTTTTTAATCTACTATATTTTGTACAAATCAGTCCCATATTTCATTATATTTGTTGATACATAGTATATGTCTAGGCAGCCTGCTAACAGGTGGCAAATACAATCAGGTCTTCAATCAATAAGAGAAATGGGCCATATATTTTTCTTTCCAATGCTGTCTTTGGGCCACATAATAAGGGCCTGAAGAACCCATTTATATTCCCTGATTGTCAAATTCCATGTATTAGGTATGTAGACCAAGAGAATAGTATCCTCTGAGTTTTTTAGCTTTTGTCGCACAATCATATTTATATAATCCAACACTTTCTCCTCAAACTTAGTAAGTATAGGACATTGTAAAAACATATTTTTTTGTATAGATTTTATTAGTTTTTATAGGGTTAGGAATAAGGTGGGGTCGAGGTTGGGGTTGGGATTTGGGTTAGCATTAGGATTAGGGTTGGGATTTTCCAAATAACATTCTCAATATTTAGCAAACAGCATAATGTCTGGGTTCATGTGTTTAACAAACAATAATAGTTAATAGTTAATTATCATAAACAATATGTTAATTAATCACTCAATAGCCTTCTTCTTGCTAATATATATTCAATATTACATATCACATTCCTTTCTCTCTAACTCGTTTTTCTAGCCATTGATAGAAATTATCCCATGTTCGAAAGTACACTGAGTCTTCTTTCTCTTTTATCTTTAAAGTCAATCTATCCATTTCTGCACACTTTAGAATTTTCTTAATTAGTACTTCTTCAGCTGGTAAATTTTAATTTTTCAAATGTTGGGCAAATACAATTCTTGCTGCCATTAGTACGTGCAGTATTAAATATCTGCAATCTTTCTCATAATTTGCTCCTATTATTCCTAACAAAAATAATTCTGGCTTAAAGTCTATTTGTTTTTTAGTCATTTTCTCCAACCATAACCCAAAATCTTTTTGCTTTAGGGCATATCCACCAGATATGATAATAAGTACCTGGTCTTTGTTTGCATTTCCAACAGTTATTTGAAGTATTTTTAAATATTTTTGCTAATCTCACTGGTGTCATATGCCATCTGTAAAACATTTTATATAAGTGTTCTTTATATGCCACTGCTTTAGTTAATGTAATATTTCTTTCCCATAACTTTTGCCAATCTTCTAATTCTATATTATATCCAAAGTTCTTTGTCCATGTTATCATTGTTTCTTTTACTTGTTCTTCCTCCATCTTTAAGTTTAACAGAAATCTAGAGTTTAATCAACTTTTCATCTGTTTTTAGCAGTATCTGATCAATTTCTGTCTGTTCTTTATAAAACCCCATTGTTTTAACATCTTTTTCATATCTCATTTGAATTTGCAAATATGACCACCATGCTAGATCAATACCTTGTTCTTGTAAATCTTGTCTGTCTTTCAATTTTCCTTCATTGTCCAAAATATCTTTATAAGTCATAGTTTATCATAGTTAATTAAATCCTCATAGATTTGTTTGGGATTCATCATTTCTTTAATGTATAGAGCTATTCCTCTTTTCTTTTGAAGTGCTAATGGAAAGTGAAGTTTATTTATAATGTTGTCTTTTAATGTGTGTTTCATGAAGACAAATATCCATTTTTAATTTTTGTAGTCGTGTAAAAATTTTTCTCCTTTTTGAAGGAGAATTTGGTCCATTTATATTCATTGACAAAATCCTACTCTCCTCCATCTTTTTCAGTTATACCTAGGTCTTAATCTTCTAGTCGATCTCATCTGTCTCTGATCTCTTGGTCTTGCTCCTTCTTCTGTATATGTGTTTTTAATTTCTTCCTCCTCTCTTGGTTTGACTGCTCCTTCTACTGCCATTTCTTCCTGTTTCTTTGTTTTTCTCTTTGTACCAGATTCAGAGTCACCTCTTTCCAAAAATGCTCTGTGGTTGTTGAAGAATTCCATTGCTTTAAGTGGCATATCCAGTCTATATCTTTTCGTATCCCAGAAATTAAAATCCTTCTGGAATCAGCCATCTGAAATTCACTCCTTTTTCAATTAATTTCCTAGTTAGAAACTGGTATTCTCTTCGGGATTCTCTTATTCTCCTAGGAATTTGTTTGAGGACTACAATTTCTTTTTCTTTGTATTTCAAAGGTTTGTCTCTTCTCAAAATCTTGTCTCTGGTAGATCTTTTAAGAAATCTAACATGTACTTCCCTGGGGACTTTATTTCTTCTAGCAAAGTTTGAGTTGACTCGATAGATCCGGTCTAATTCTCCTTCCATTTGCTGTTTTCCAATTCTTAATGCGTCTGCCAATAATTCCGTTATCAAGCCTAGGAGATCCTCTTCCTTATCTTCCATTATATTTTGAAATCTTAAAAAATATGAAGCTCTTTCCATCTCGATCCCAGCTATTGAATCTTCTGGTTCAGGGCTTTTCAATCTTTTCACCCATTGTACCACTTTTAGGATATGGCAATATCCGAGTACCACCAGTCGCCTAGCAAGGTGTCAAAAACCTGAAGACCAAAAAAAGAAAAGAAAAGAAAAAAGTGATGAAGTACAGGTAGTCCTTCACTTACAACAGTTCGCTTAGTGACTGTTTGAAGTTACAATGGCACTGAAAAAGTGCCCCCCAAGCCACAGCTGAGCAAGACACCTGCCTGCCCACCTGGCGATGTTCTTCCTCCTGTCCTAGATTTTCATTGTTGTGAGCATTTCTGTTGAGGATTGGCAGCAGGGCTGGGGTGGGGGGTGTTTGGTTTTTATTCCCACCGTCTGCTGGGTGGTTGCAGCAGGTTTTGGTCACTTCACATGACCCTGGGACACTGTGACCGTTATAAATATGAATCAGTTGCCAAGCATCTGAATGTAAATCACAAGACCCTGGAGATGCTGCAACATTCCAGCTGATCAGCACTTCTTCTGGGCTCAGCAGAAGCACCAGGATCAGCGCCAAGCTCCAGCTGGTGCCTGGCGTTGATCCTGATGCTTCCACTGAGCCCTGACAGTCCCGAAGAAGCGCTGATCCTGGCGCTTCCACTGAGCCCTGATAGCCCTTCAGCTCCAGCCATCTCTTGCTCAGGCTTGTGCGGTGCTGCCACCGGTTCAGCTCATTCCCCTCCCCCACTACCACTTTTCTAGGATGGTCGCGTACCACCTGCCAGGTGCCAATGTACCACAGGTGGTACCCGTACCACTGGTTGAAAAGCCCTGCTCTAGGTGCTATATAGGCTTCTTAGGAAATTTAAAATGGTGGGGGGCTGTAACCCAGTATTTTACTTTTGCAGTCTTTTTCATTAATAGGCAAATTCCCTATGACTGTCATTTTATGAGTATAAATACAATGTGCTGTAATATTCTTAAGAGTACTTATATGGCCTCTTGGACCATAACTGCTTCTGTTTTATTTTTCGGAACAATTCATTATTTTCCTATTTTAAAAATTATTTGCTTATCTAGTTGCCTGTTAGTTGTTAGTTCTCCTTTCAAGTGGCTAAATATACTAATAATGAGATATGACTTTAAATAATTCATATTTTCCAAAAATATAAACATTTCTTGAATGCCCTCAAAGGGAAAGTACACCTTAAATTCTAGCTCAATAGTATTTGAAGTACTATATATGCATATACAGTGAACAGTGGAATAATTTAAGGATTAATAGATCAGTAAATTAATGTTGGACAACTTGACTTGTTCCCTGGTACAACACGAGCAACTTACAATGATTTCCTTTTCAAGATACACACAGTCCTCTAATGGTTGACTTGCTTAGTGACTGTTCACCGTTGATATGAACGTGATGACAAAGTAACTTTGTGAGCAGTCCTTGCATTACAACCTTTGCTAGTCTGTAAAGGAAAGTTAAAGTAAGATCATAAGCACAATTACAGTTTCACTTAATGCCTGATTCATTTAACAACTTGCTAATTCCAGACGTGGTCGTGCAACTGCTCTGATCCTTTCTTACCTTTTCTCTTAAATTCTTGTATTTGCTTTTTTTGTGGCCTGAAAGCCTTAAAGTGTCTCTGAAAGGATAAAAGTAAAAGGAGGAGTCAAAGAAGTTAAAATTAAGTTATTTAACTTGTTTATCAGTTCTATTCCAAGTACATACCGTGTTTCCCCAAAAATAAGACCCAACCAGAAAATAAGTCCTAGCATGATTTTTCAGGATGCTCATAATATAAACCCTACCCCAAAATAAGCCCCTGGGGGGGTGGCTCAACATTGCTCGCGTCAGGGATGCCTGTGGGGGCCCGTGCGGGCTGGGAGGGATCCAGGGGTCTCCAGCGAAGGGGGAAAGACCAGGGTGGGTGCCAGGGCCTGATCCACCGGAAGAGCCTCACTGATCCCCTTGGGCTGCATGGGGCAGTTCTGGGACTGGGCTTGGGCGGGGTGGAGTGGGGAGGGGAGTCCCGGCTGTCTCTTGGGGACAGGGGTTCCCTGCCCTTCCGGTTCACCGGAGCCATTGTGGTGGGGTAGTGGATGGCAGGCTCGTTGGACCGCGGGGGCCGAGCACGCAGGGGCCGCAGTGTGGCACCACTTCCGCCCCACCATTTTCCTCGCCTCACCTGTTCAGGAGTAACTTCTCCCATGTTCTCCTTCCTCTCCTTTGAACATCTCTTCACTCCTGTTACTGTTTTTTCAGTTCCGGATCTCAGTTTGTCTGGAGCCTGTGCGGAGGGTCTTTGGAAACAAAGCTCTGCAAAGACGGGTGGGGTGGGAACCATACCCATTGCTTTTTGACCGGCTCCGAAATGTGGTGGAAGGAGCGGCCCGAGGGCTCCAGTCTGGCTTTGCAGCAAGCAAAAGGATTGGTGGTTAGTTTGTTGGGTGAACTCTAGCCAGAGTGATTGATTTAGTGAAGTGAGGTTTAGCAGGCTGAGCGCACAGGAGCCGTGGTGTGGCGCCACCTCCGCCCCACCACCTGCCTTGCCTTGCCCTGTGGCTGCAGCACCAGCAGCAGGCGGAGGCAGAGGCATGGGGGGAGGTGGCTGTGTACACATCCGGCGGGCAGGATCATGTGCCTCCAGTGGCACCATTGCCACTATTTTTGTTGTTATGTGCATTTTATTTATTATTTATTTATTTATTATTTAAATTTATATACCGCCCTATCTCCCTTACGGGACTCAGGGCGGTGAACAGGCAATAATAAAAATCACAATAAATATTGAATAAAAAGCCTGCTCTAAAATACCCCATATAAAACCCCTAGCAAAGCCCAATCAAAACTACGCCAGGCCGGCCGCATGGAATAGGTGGGTTTTCAAGGCTCGGCGGAAGAGGCGCAGGTCCGTAGTTGTACGTANGCCACAGAGAAGGCTCTCCCCCTGGGGGTCGCCAGCCGGCATTGACTGGCCGACGGCACCCTAAGGAGGCCCTCTCTGTGGGAGCGGACTGGTCGAAGGGAGATATTTGGTAGGAGGCGGTCTTGCAAATACCTAGGTCCATTGCCATGGAGTGCTTTAAAAGTTGTTACTAACACCTTGAAGCGCACCCGGAAGGCCACTGGCAGCCAGTGCAGCTCGCGCAGGAGAGGTATTTCTAAACAGCTCAGCCATTCTGTTAACAGTATTCAAAATAATATGTGTCTTCAATTCTGTGTAAGTAGTAAATAATCTGAGACTTATCCTATACATGTTTGCATATATTTGCATTACAAATATTTTCTGGCAGCAGCAGCAATGGCGCTCATGGCCTTGATGAGGCTTGAGATGTTGGAGGCACTTGGCAGTACATCTTTTGTAGCAGGCAGCAGTGTTTGGTAATGGCGAATGGATTGACTTTTAAAAAAATGCTCTCAAACTTCACAAAACTGCCTAGCAGGCTGCATGTGGCCCATGGGCCATGTGTTGAGCAGGCCTGATACAGACACATTCTTTTCCAAGGCCTTCGTGGCCTTCAACAGCACCAAGTGATATTATGCAATATATTCTTGGATTATTGGTTATTAGTCCTAAAAAGGGAATCTATCCACCACTTCAGTATTTTCATTTTCAGTTCTAAGGATGATTTCTGCACCTATTGTCATTTATTTCTTCTTTATATTTAATTTTATGCATATTTTTTCATTTGATTTTCATTGCAAGGTTGCACATCTTTTGTGCTTTCAGCTATCAGTAGAGTCATCAGCTAGTGCAAGTTATTCAGACTTCTTCAACCAGTTTTAAGTTCATGCTCACCTAATCTAGTTTCCCTCAATATGTATTTGACATATACAATACACTGAAGAGCATACTGATGTCTTTGGTTTTCTCAGTTTTCCTGTATGCATTGGCAATAATGCCTCATGTTCCTCAATCTTTCCTAAGGCCAGCTTGAAATTTTGGCATCTCCCTTTCCATGTAGGGTTCTAATCTGTGTTGGATGAGTATTGTTTTACTAGCATGTGAGATGAAGGATATCCTACAGTTTTTTGTACATTCTGTTAAGTTTCCTTCTCTGATATTGGAAAGTTGATTGATTCTTCCAGTCTGCTGTCCACTGTGTCATTCTCCAGATTTTCTGGCATAGCTTGCCTGGAACCTTTATTGATTCTTCTTCTGTGGCTAGCCCTATTTCTGTGGGTGTTAATAATAATAACAACAACAACAACAACAACAACTTTATTGTCACTTTGAATGTATACCAATCAGCATACATAAAAATGAAATTTCATTGCATACAGCTCTCAAAGGGTCACCACCTCCAATATACACTCCTTGTTTGTGGCCAGCTCAAGTTTCAGAACGTCCATTTTAGTCTCCAGGGAGCGAAAGATGGCAAACAGGACAGATGGAAATGGAACTTCATGTGGATTAGCCCTCAAATTAGCTTGTATTCCTGCACGACAACCTCGCCTCATTTCCTTTTTCTGATCCTGTCTCTTCCATCTTTTCTTTAAAGGGGCCTCACTCCTTTTCGCTGCTTCTGCCGCCGCCTCCAACTCCTCTAAAAGCCCCTCTCCCATCCTCTGGGCCTGCCAACAGCCTCATCCAGTTCCTTTCCTCCATAAGCCCCTGGACCTCTCCTCCTCTGCCTCCTTCGGAAACAGCCCTGATTTGCAATAGAATCCGTCGCTGGGCCAGCAGTCAGATCTTGCTGCTGGCAGAACTGTTCCATCAGTTCCTGTAGCTTTTCAGCTGTCTAATAAACCAGAGTGCTGATCTAACTCCATCTTCTGACATTAGAGGTTCTTGTAAATAGGGAATATTTTCTAAGGTATCTTAGATGTTGACATCTCTGTTGTATGAGATTTCAGTATAGTCCTTTCATTTTTGTTTGGTATTCTTTTAATCACTTATTATCTGTTCATTAGCATACTAGCTGGAGTTTTGAACCTACTTTGAGTTCAGTTAGGGAATTGCAGCTGATAAAAATTCAGCTGTTACAATAGTGGCACCTCACCATCTAAGGAGTTTAGGGGACCATACATAATTCTTTCACTTCTTCTATATTATCACAACAATTCTGTGAGGATGGTTAATTTATAAAAATGAGCAGTATAAGATTACCTGGTAAATGTTATTGTGAGTAAGGGGCTGAGTTGCTCCTAGTTTCATATTGTTTTTATCAGACATCAGTATACTATAATGTACAGTTTTCTCTTGGAATTGGTAAAGCTGAAATGATAGACTTTTCCATTCTTAAACAATTATCTGTGACAGGCTATTAAATTAGACAATTTTTACACTTTTCTTCATTTCAAGCATAAGCCTGAAGTGTTAGAGGAGGAAGCTTCCACAATGTGTTAATTCTAACACAGCTATTTTTATTAGGATATTAAAGAAATTGTCTTGAAAGATTTCTGTTACACTTAAATAGTCCCATCCTCCCTTACAAATGGGCATCATTTAAATGCAGGTTATAACTGCAAATGTTCAGAGCTCTGGATATGGTAACGGTTGCCATAAAATGTTTACTGTAATTCAAGTTTTGCTTCCATTTTTGAAGAGTTGAGCATGACAGTTTATATGTCCTTCACTGAGTCTTCCCACAAATATAAATGGATTTTCCCCCCCTTAGTTTTGGCTGGACTGACAAAGTGTTGATGATTAGCTTTTTCTTCCTGATTTTTTTTTTCCAGGCATAAATATTGTGAGAAAAATACATCTTTCTGGTTTTGATTTTTAAAGGTATTGCAACAGTCACCTACAAGTTCTTGGCTTTTTACCGAAAAAGGAGAGGAAGAAAAAGAACGATCCAACAGAAGAGGTAAAAGTCCGGCACCAGATGGATTCAATAGCCTTCAGCCTGACAGTTCCTCCACTGGCTTTGAAGATGCCCAATGGCCTGGATGGGCTGTCTCTTTCTCCACCAGGGGCCCGGCTTCCTCTCCACTACTTAGAAGCAGAATTGGAAGACCCCTTTGCTTTCAACGAGGAAGATGAAGAGCTCAAGAAAGGGACAGCTGTGAAGAAAAAGTTGCAGAGCAAATTAGCCCAAAACCGTCAACGCCAGAAAGAAACTGAGATTCTGAAAGTTCGCCAAGAGCACTTTAGCCCCGTTCCTGCACCTTTGCAGCAGCAGCCTTTGCAACCACAGCAACATGCCCATCTCTCACATATACCAACATCTTTAAAGCCAGCAGTGCTCCCACAGGGCTTAGTCTGCAAGTCACCTCAACCTCAGAATACCAGCCTACCAATGCAGGGAGTGGCACCCACCACACATGCTATAGCACAAGCCAGGCAGTCGGCCAACAAAAGACCTCTGCCTCTCTTGCACCCTACTAAAGTCCATGCCCCAGACCCACCCAGGGCTGACAGGATCCTAATGAAAGCCACAGCCTTCTCCCCGTATTCATTCTGTAGGAGCCGGTTACAGAGACTGGTGAAACTGTGCACTCAAAAACATCAGCTGGATGCTGACCTCTTTCCACATTTAGGTAAGCACAGAAGTATATCTGCATTTTTGTTGGGTGTAAACGGATTGGTAATTGTATGTGAGCAAACTAATTGGAGGAACATTGGGTCTTTTCGTTTTGTTTATTGGAAAGAATAAGGTAATCCATAAAGGAATGTATCAGTATGCTTCCTCAGAATATAAGGGTACTCATTACTATTTACTATTTACTCATTACTATTTCATGATGAAGTCAGAAATATATATCTTCTGTCCTGGAAAAAAAAAAAGATTCAGGGGCACTTGAAGAAGCTCATCTTCTTTCTTCCTTTTCAGGGTTGGACTGGTCTGAAGATAGTGGAGAAGAACTGGAAGAATTAGACCAAACCTCTCCATACCAGGTTGCATGGTCTATCCGGGAGGCCCTCAGATATGAAAGGAATGAGTAAGTACACAAAGAAGGGCAAAATAGTGCAAAACAAAATATGGCCTTTAGATGCACATTCTTATGTGAAACATAGACATTAATGAAGAAGATGATTAAACTGATTTTTGAAAGTCCGAAGCACAGCACTCACATTAGTTCTGATTCTATTTGACACATATATTTGAGGTGTAAAGCCTCAATATAACTGACCATTCAGAAGGACAGGTGTTGAACGTTAAACCCATTATCCCTTAATTCTGAATTTGCATAATTTGTATAATTACATAATTGGTGGCATCATTTACAGTAAAACTCTCCTTTTAGTGGATATTAAATGAAATCTAAATGAAAAATGTATTGTATTCATAGTTTGTTCATTGAGGTTGTTAAACATTTTGCTACTAAAAGGTTATTCTTTGTTCAGCCACAAGCACAAAAATGTTGTTTCTACACTTCTTGTACTTTGATTGAAATGCATCTTTTAATAATATAATTTACGGAGTAGATGGTACCATTTGCAAAATTTGCAAAACATGATTCGAATAATGCAGAAACTTGTGATCAGAATCACTGATTCCTAGAATTGGAAGTGACTTTTGAGGTCTTTGTGTCCAACTGATCAGTGCAAAATCAAAATTAAAACTTTCTTGGTAGATGGAAGTTAGAATAGAATAGAGTAACAGAGTTGGAAGAGTCCTTATAAGTCTTCTAGTCCAACCCCCCTGCTTAGGCAGGAAACCCTATACCATTTCAGGCAAATGGTTGTCCAATCTCTTCTTAAAAAGGTCCAGTGCTGGAGCATTCACAACTTCTGGAGGCAGGTTGTTCCACTGATTAATTGTTCTAACTGTTAGGAAATTTCTCCTTAGTTCTAGGTTACTTCTCTCTTCAATTAGTTTCCATCTGTTGCTTCTTGTCCTGCCTTCAGGTCCTTTGAAGAATAGCTTGACTCCCTCTTCTTTATGGCAGCCCCTGAGATATTGGAACACTGCTAACATGTCACCCCCAGTCCTTCTTTTCATTAAACTAACATACCCAATTCCAGCAACCGTTCCTTATATGTTTTAGTCCCCTAATCATCTTTGTTGCTCTTCTCTGTACTCTTACTGGAGTCTCAACGTCTTTTTTTACATCGTGGTGACCAAAACTGGATGCAGTATTCCAAGTGTGGCCTTACCAAGGCGTTGTAAAGTGGTATTAATACTTCACATGATCTTGATTCTATCCCTCTGTTAATGCAGCCTAGCACTGGGTTGACTTTTTTGGCAGCTGCAGCACAGTTAGTACTATTGAGCAAGGTACCACCTATAGTATACCTGTGCATTTGGTTTTTCTTGCCTAAATGTAGAACCTTACTTTTTTCACCATTGAATTTCATTTTGTTAGATAATCCAACCTCTGCTTGGATACCTTCAGTGAAGGGAAGTCCAGCAGTTGTTTGGGTAATTGATTCCATTGTCAAATTGGTTCACAGTTAAAAGAGTTTTTTTTTAACTTATGCATTTTTATTTTCTACAAGTATATGTATGTGCATATTCCCACTATTTTAGATGCCATGTGGTCAAAAAATACAAAGTAGCATAAAAACCTAAGCAAAATCAGATTGGTAATTAAATGACTAACCCATATTGTTTCCCATCATATGTGAGGTTCTCCGGTCTATCTCCAAGAGCCTTGTGAAAAAGCCCAGTTTTTACTCCTTTCCTGACATTCAACATTTAATGAAAGCAATGAAACATAATGTTCTTCTCAGTGTAATTTTTATAATTGCTTGTGGTTCTGGTCTGTTCCTTTCTTAGGAGTATTGATTTGAAAATCGTATGAATAACTGCAGTGTTAGAATTGCTGAGTTGCATGCTACTACAAATGAGTAAAGCTGTTACATAAGAACGGATGTTTGTAAAAAACCACTGCTAGTGGATTGTTGTATTGGATGCACTGTTGGAAAGAAGATTATCAAAAGGGTGGGAGACAGAACTGTATATGATTTTGGGGGGACAATTTATCCTCTGTCTGCTCTTCCAACGTATTCTGGGATAGCTCATATAAAATTTCAAATATAATTAAAATAATTAATTAAATTTCTTTGATTAAAAATCATTACCCAGAGATGAAGAGTAATGTACCCACCTAATATATTGCATCACAGATGCTCTCTAGGAAAGCCAGGTCTTCACTGCTTTTCAAAATATTAAAAGGGGTGTTGCTGAGGGTTGAGAGGTATCCAGATTATAAGCAGAGGTTGCTCCAGAGGGCAGAACTACCTTTCCAGAAGTCTGTTCCATGTTCCCATCTGTCAGTGCCTCACAGAATATACTTAGAGCATATCCCTTTGGCTGACTGCGCAAACAGGGAGATGCTTTTTGAAGAAGGTGGTCCCATGGGTAGGACATTTAGATAGAATCAACAATTTGAATTATAGTCAGAAATATATTATCAATCAATGTAGTGTCTGTCATAAAGGTATCATAGGTATTAGCCACGAGGGCTGCTGTGCTCTGTCCTAATTGCAAATTCTTGGTAGTTTTGAAAGGCAGCCCCAAATACAGTGCAGAGTCTCTTATTCCAAAATAAAAATAAAAATGCAATGGCTAGAAAATTAACTAAAGTCAAGCAAAGTCTCCGCTGGCCATCAAACTCCTTTGTTTGATCTAATAGGAGCTGTGTTGCAGATCTGCTCTTTTGGGTGGCGTTTACTTCTGTCTAGAGCCAGTGCTGGGACAATAAGCAAACCAACAGGATTCAATGTTAGATTGTTTTGTTCCACCTAATTCAATCCCTTTCAGCCTCCAGACATTGGATAAGAACTCCACTACATCTCCTGTCTGGTCAGGCTGGAGATATACTACTGAATGATGGATGACTTTCTTGAGTAACAGGAGAGAGAGAACTGAGTACTGTGATGCCTGTACAGGAGTGGTTAGGGGCTCATTTGCTAATCCCCCATTGCTACAAACTGTCTTTATAGGGAGCAATGTCCCCATAGCTTCCAGTTATCACAGATGGTCCGGATGATATCAAGGAAGATTTTGATTCTTCTTATCATTTTCCTGCAAACATAGTGTCTGACTTTTGTTGTTGTTGATATGATGATCAAGCCAAGTGTTGATCCATTGATTGTGACAGGAATTGATCGTCTGCCTGGTCACCCTAGCATGACATTGTAGGCTACAGTGAGTAGCTAGTCCAAAATCACCCAGCCGGCTTTCATGCCTAAAGCAGTACTAGAACTCATAGTCTCCTGGTTTGTAGCCTGGTGCCTTAATGATTAAGGCTATCGAAAAACACTGAAATATTTAATTGGATAAAGGACCACTGAATCTACAGAAGACTTGTGCAGAAAAGTATCTTTGTCAATCACGTTGAAGAAGGGAAATCTCATACGGGAACATTATAAAAGGAGGCTCTTATACTGTCCATCCAAACCAATATTTTTCCTGGTAGATGTTACACTAGATTGAGGAAGACTGACAGAGGAAGTGGCATTGGGGGGTTGCATGAGGAAAGGAGAATTAGTTATTGCTTCCTCTGGCAGGAAAAGTAGCTCTTACTTTTACAAAAAAGTAATCCCGATACCTCAACCAACATTTAAAGCAGCAAAGTAAAAATAACAATAGACACAGGTGGTAAAATTTGTCAGATGGTAAAAGCTGAAAGGATTTTAATAAAAGCACCAACTGATCCTTTCAGGAGAACAGATTTCATAAATAGAATATAACAAACTCTCTCACTGGTTGCATCTCACTTACAAGATAGGAACTTCTAAAGCAATATAGTGCATTGCCATTTATGTGATTTAATTGTGAATAAGAGCACCTACTTGACATCCACTTCACGAGATTGGTCCAGCCAAATTTCATGTTTTTCATCAGGCCTGATCCTGGGACAGGAAAGGTAATGCGGCAGTTGTTTACTCAGAGATGCTAGCTGTTGCGAATGCTGTTCCCAAATCTTACTCATGACTTAGGAGATTATGGGAAGGCTGCAGTGGAACTATGCTCCTAGCTGCATGACAGCATGCCTAACCAAGTAGCTGGACTTCATTATAGAGTGTGTGGATTCAGCCAGACTAGTAATACTGGGTGATTTCAGTCTCCCTTCCCTAGGGGACCTCAGGAATTCATGGCTATCATAACAAACATGGATTTGTCTCAAAGTACATTTTAGATCTGGTATTTACCTCAGATCCATTGTATAATAATCAGTCTTTGGGGAACTTTTCTGCCAGCCCACTGTAATGGGGCTTCCTCTTTCACTGCCTCATGAATATGGGGTTAACTAGAGCCACCAACCTCTTTTGGGAGACTAAAATGGCTTCTCCAAACACCTAATGGATCCAGCAGGTTTCCAGCAAGAATAATGGATCCATTTCTCTGGACAATTTCCTTGTAACTCTGTTGAACACCTTGATTTCTGGAACATAGAAGGACTCAACAGAATTACCACTGATTGACCTCTTGCTATCCATTGATCCTTTCCTGCTCCTTTGCTTCATTAGGTTGTCCCACTGAGTGGGAAATGAAGCAGGTAAAGAGATGCCTGGAGTCACACTGCTAAAAAACAAGTAGCAAAATTGATCATACGCAAGTAGTATTAAAGGTGGCAAAGTGTAATGAACAGGAAGGTGCAAACCACTGTATCCTTCTTGCTCTCTGATCCTTTGGGGCAAAGGATGGATTGGAAGATCTAATCAGTGTTGGTGGTGATTATCTGGCTGAATATTTCATTGCTAACATCACTCACATTTACTCCAAGTTGGAAGCCAGATGGATAGATTTTTTAACAAAATACAGAAATTATGTCATGTGCTGTTATGTTGGAGGTTTTTGTACTTGTAGTTCCCCCCAAAGTGGTCAGAACCTCTGCAGTCTTAGCTCAATCACTTGTACATTGGACCCCCTGCCCCATATGGCTAATAAAAGTGACTAAGAAAGGGTTGGGGTTGGATCGAGGCTTTAGTCAATGCTCTTCTGAGGGAAGGGGAGATTAATTCTTTAGAAGGGTAGTGCTTTACTCATTCCTTGAGAGGGCAAGCTTGGGTCTAATGAAATTAAACAACTACCATCCTATTTAATCATAGCTTTATGGGGAAAGTTATTGAGAAGGTCGTGGGGTTGTAGTTGTAGAGGGCTCTGTGGGATACAGATTGTTTAGAATCATTTCATACCTCAGCATGGGACAGAAATGACTTTTAAGATTGACCCGTGATGAGATTTGAAGTAGAAAACAGATCTTTTAGCAGTTTGCAGTAATGCTTTGCAGTACTGTTGATCTTCGGACTATCTAGTGGGAGTTGGGGGAGCATGATATTGTAATGATTTGCCTCTTACCAGAGTAGGTAGGTCCAAATGGTGGTTGAAGGGAGGAATGTTAGACCCAGTGCTTTTTTTCTAAAAAAAAAAAAAAAAAAGTGCCGGAACTCATACACGTCATACAACCCGCCTTGCCTACCCTACCCTACAAGGTTCCATCCAAAAATGGTGCCAGAACTCCATTCTGGGCGTTCTCTGAGAAAAAAAGCCCTGGTTAGACCCATATGCAGTTCATTATAAAGTGCCTCAGTGTTCAATCCTTTTCATTGTCCTGTTTAATATCTACATGAAACCACTCAGAGAGGTCATTTGTCTCATCAATCAATATGCAGATTCTATCTCCACTCCAGGCTCATTGGGACGTGCTGTGGAAGTCATGGCTTAATGTCAGAGTCTGGATGGGGAAAAATTAGCTAGAACTCAACCCAGGCAAGAAGATGTGGCTGTTGATTCAGAGGATTGCGTCATTTTTTGACTTTTTTTGTTGGAGTTGTACTACTGCAGAAAGACTGGGCTGGCAGTTGTTGGGGTCTTCTGCTTAAAAAGCAGATGGGGCATGGCCAGGGGGCTTTTGTACAGTTGCAGCTAGTACACTATTTGCTGCCCACCCTGGAACAGGATGCAGGCTATTTTATCGGCTTTCCCCCTTTCTCCAACTTTACAGGCCTGATGATGATGATTATGCCAGTGGCAGGAGAACCCGCATTTCCCAACTTTGCACTTACTTTCAGCAGAAATACAAGCACCTCTGCCGCCTGGAGCGGGCAGAATCTCAACAAAAGAAATGCCAACATACATTCCGGAAAGCATTGCTGCGGGCAGCAAACAGAGAACCGGAATATGCTGGGCAGCTGATTCGAGAACTCCATAGAGCTTCATGTCCTCGGACCAGGTGAGGGACTTTCCCATACAACTGCAGCAACCTAATACTTGGGAAATACAAAATAATGTTTTAATGGAACTTTGAAAATTTCAGCAACAAAATCTAAGAATCGAATCTTCTAATATTAGTAGTTTGCATCTATGATTTTTCTACCTGAGAATAAACCCACATAACAAATTCATTTCAAATTAAAATATTATTGGTTAATTGCCAACATTGGTAATAGGCTTTAGTTCTGAATTCAGATTTATTTCAGCTCTTACTAATAAAGTGGATTATACTCTAAATGCCAGAATAGAGTATTATGGGCACAGGTTTTTTTCCATAAATAGCCTTAGAATGGGTTCTAATGCTGATGCTATGCCTCTTATTTCATTATGTCCCTGGAACATGGGTAACAATTACCAAGTTATTTCTGGTCAAGAGAGATGACTCACCTACATCAGGAAATAGAAGACACTTAAGGCTACAATTTGGGGTTCCAGCTCAGTCCTGGATTTCAGAGTTGGAGTTTGACGGACAGGTTCAGTTGAGATGCCCGAGGGCAGGCTTTTGTAGGATTGTCTGTTGTGGTATGCTAATGTGTGGGCTTCCAAGTTGCACCAGTTACCTATTGACTTATGAGTGCAATTCAAGGAACTGGTTATCATCTATGAAGCTTTTCCTGGCATAGGGCCTGGCTGCTTGTGAGTCCATCAGTTTTTGATTCATTTGGTGAGATCAGGCAAAGTGGGTGTGCTTTGGGTCCCATCAACAAAGAAAGAGAGAGGGAAAGAGAGAGAGAAACCCAATTGGAATGATTGACTCAGGTGGCTTCTGAAACTGAATGTACCAACCAACAAATAAATAATATCCCCAGAATACATTACATTACAATACAGTTCTTCAAGGAGAATGCATTTCAGTCAAAATTGCTTAAACCCTATTTTTTTAATCTGGTAAAGAGCCAACTGACAGTGTATTTTACTTGTCTAGACTGAGTTCAGTTTATTAATCATTTATTCATTATCATTATTAAGTACTAGCTCATCACTTTGTGAGACTTCCATAGATGTAGAAGGTAAAGTTGATTTTTACTGCAAGTGTGTTTTTTTTCATTTCAAAATCCTTAAATGGCTTTCTGCAACAATTACATATGGTTATTAAAATGTACCAGATACTTGTGAACTTAATACTGCAAATGCCAAACAGAAGTTTTTCACTTCCACCTTCTGTAGTGGAATTAATCTCATTATTGATATCAAAGCCACCTAAGAGATCTGGGAATAGGAGCATAGTCTGATATATTAGGCTGACAAAAGCCTCAAGGAACAAATCTATTTCAAAATCATATAAATCACGGGTGTCAAACTCACCACGTCATGTGATGTGCCGCAACATATCGTGACTCTTTTTGCATTGCTGGCAATGGGGTGGGCGCCGCTTCGGTATGATGAAACTGGCCTGCGGGCCGGCAGTTTGACACCCCTGATGTAAATAATCTATGCAAATTATCACTATTTACACATAATTTTTTAATATTTTAAATAATTTAATCTCACTTTATTTGTAAAGAGACAGACAAGAATATTGAAACCCTGATCCTTAACTATTGAATATTTTACTCATTCACTTTTCCTGTAATACTTGCTTTATATGTGTGCATTTTAATAGAAAAACGGGTTCTCTGTAACTTGTATTTTGTTTATACTCTTGGCTCAATAGGGACAGAAAGGTATCTGTTAATTATTTTAATTGTGTATTATATAGAGAATAGATATATTGGATGTTACAAAGAGTGCAATCTCTGTGTTGTGCAGTGTATTTCTAGTAACTAGAAATAAATACTGACACCTTCTCCTGTTTGTGAATGTTTTGCAGGATGGATAAAATACTTCTGTAATGTGAAAGTAGACATGAACAATAATTAAATTTTAATTTTTTTGATAAGGCTATGTTAATAAACATTTCTCTCTCTCTCTCTCTCTCTCTCTCTCTCTCTCTCTCTCTCTCTCTCTCTCTCTC